TATTGTTTTATACACGACGATAAAATTGCATTATTGTCTCCCGAAATTAATTCACTCGCGATTTCGTCGCTCGTGAATTAATCTTTTCGGTCGACGATAAAATACCATTTTATCGTCTTGTATAAAAAATAACTATTTTCGTATTGATATTTCGATATTATGGTAATATAGGTAGTAGATTAAATTTACGAAAAAGAACACCCAGAAAAAATCCAGTGGTTCTCAAAATATGAGCAAAAAATAGTTTTTTTTGATCTTCAAAGTAAAATATTTCGTTTATTTTGAACTTGAAAAATAGCAAAATGTCTTTTATTGAGAATATGTTTCTCTTATCGAGATCTACAAGCCCCTCTAATGAGCATCTCGCTGTCTCGTTGTCGATGAAAAGCTGTCCAACACCGGGTGGCAAGCGGGACGTATCACCAGATTTGCCAGAACTCTAATGCAAGGATATTGAGATGGCGAGTCATCAACTCGACGGAGGAGGGCCATGGTCAGGTAATCACAATACGAATTGACCTCATATCGAAAACAGTGAGAAAGAGAGATATATCCTCTAGTATAGATCAGGGACAACACCGGTATCAAGTCTATGGAGAGACCAAGTTAAAGAGGTGGAGAAAATGGAGACAGATCCGCCAGCCTCCACCTCTCTTGAACCTCAACCGGAGACAAGCTCCTCGACTGTGACGGACACGGAGGGCTAAATCCCAACCTTCGGAGGGTTGCGAGGCTTTATACCCTTGTAGGAGGTAGATGTCTACTCCTCGGAGGATGTACATCTGTTGTCAGTGGAGGATGGAGAATACCCTGTCCCCTCTACAACAGGAATATTCCCATGTATGATGAGTTATGGACTGTATGATGAGTTATAACTAAAGAAAGTGGGACACAATAGATCTTTGAGCTATCAATTGTGCAAGATGGCGAAGTTCCAAACCTAATTTATTTAAAGATTAATTTTTTAAATATTTTTCCGATATTTTAATAACAATTATTACCTACTAATACTGTTAATAATCATTACTGATGTCCTCTTCAAAAGCGAATATTTCCAATATAATAACAGCTACTGAGATGAATAAAAAGCTATCGAGAAAATATACCTATACCTTGATGATAGACTTGTTTTTAAATCCCATAGATTGTTAAACCATTCCACAGGGTTGTTCAAACTTTCGTCAAAATAAAATTTTAATTTTCGCTCGTATAATAAAAAGATCAAGTTAAAAAATCAAACAATTTGACTAAAAATGGGTTAGATAATAGCCAAAATCGGCCAACTAGGACCAAATATATTGAACTTTAAAAAACTCAAAAATTTTACGGTTTTAAAGAAAGCAACGAAAAATTGTTTAAAAATCAAGGCGCAATTCAATCTAAACTGGAGCCTCTGTTTGATGACGTAACAGATTTGCACGTCATAGCTGTTTGGCCCTCTATTAAAGCCGGGTTGCGGCGTGGGTGGTACTACGAGGTAGGTTATGTAGGCAGATATTTCAATGAAAAAGCTCTATTTTTAGAGACTGTAATTTAGAAATGTTGTGTTTCCTATCGCGCAATAATAGCCAGAGACCCACTTTCTCCTTTGCTTCTCATCCCGACCGCGATGTTGATTTATCGCTTTTCGTACCCGGCTATCCGACGAGGAAAACGTGAATTTTCATACATATATTTAGCGCGTTCGCTTAGTTTTTACCTGGGTTAATTGAGTGGCCTCTGGCGATCGTTAGATGAACGACTTCGAAACAAGTTCCGCGGGAGGATAAATGACAGTGGCGCGCTCTCGAGACCCGGCGAAAAAATCGCCAACTAAATCAAACAGAACGCCTCGGAGCATCTGTTCATCAGGGTTGTTCGGTGCAGTAAAATTATACTGATTTTACCACAGTTACGTGTACTCTAGTACATTAATACAACAAAGTTACAGTTGATTTTCGTATGTACGAAAAATACAGTCAATGTGTTTAGTTAGTTAGTTGTTTCAATAAGACAAAAAGATGTACTGAACAAAGAAGAAAAGCAGGTATTTTCCCAAGCCACGGATTAAGGCTTTTAATTACATACTTTGTAATACATACATCGCATTTTTTTCTCTCCGGCATACAAGTTTTGCATAGCAATTCACTCTTGCGAACATGTAAATCCGACCCAAGACTCTGTGTTGCCGACAGTGTATAGTAAACTTTTATATGTCCGTTAGGTTAGGTTAGGCAAATTTGTTTATTAGTGAACCACTGCTGATAGTTAAGGCGGAATTACATTACTGTCACGTCACGTGAGTTCACATTCTATCACAGTAAAAGTAAGTTCACGTGTGGTTTAAAGGAAACACATTAAGGCGGAATTACATTACTATCACGTCACGTGAATTCACGTGAACACACATGAGCAGTAAATTTAATGAGACCGATGTTTTGCATTTATTTTATTAATCAACATATCAAGGGTGAACACATTATTGTCACTTGGGGGATTCATGTGAAATCACGTGATATTGCGAGTTGTTTCGCGCTCAAATATTCTGTTTTAACATCAATTTCGTGAGGCGTGAGAACGTGAGGGTTGGAAAATGGAAGAAATTCTAATAGAAAAAGTGCGTTTACACGAGGTGCTTTATAATAACCGATCAACAAATTACTCCCTTTTCAAATTAATGTCATGAACCCATTGCCTAATTTTAATATTATCAGCAACCACAAGTAAAACACATGCGTTTTGTAAATCTTCTTCAAACTCAGAAGATGAAGATGAAGAACTATTTATTTGATTCATTATTACGTTAAGTATAGGACCTAAGTTGTTAAACTTGAGAAGAACGCTGAACGAACGAGAAATGGCTTTCGGTCCGTTAGGTTAGGTTAGGCAAATTTGTTATTAGTGAACCACTGCTGATAGTTAAGGCGGAATTACATTACTGTCACGTCACGTGAGTTCACATTCTATCACAGTAAAAGTGAGTTCACGTGTGGTTTAAAGGAAACACATTAAGGCGGAATTACATTACTATCACGTCACGTGAATTCACGTGAACACACATGAGCAGTAAATTTAATAAGACCGATGTTTTGCATTTATTTTATTAATCAACATATCAAGGGTGAACACATTATTGTCACTTGGGGGATTCATGTGAAATCACGTGATATTGCGAGTTGTTTCGCGCTCAAATATTCTGTTTTAACATCAATTTCGTGAGGCGTGAGAACGTGAGGATTGGAAAATGGAAGAAATTCTAATAGAAAAAGTGCGTTTACACGAGGTGCTTTATAATAACCGATCAACAAATTACTCCCTTTTCAAATTAATGTCATGAACCCATTGCCTAATTTTAATATTATCAGCAACCACAAGTAAACCACATGCCTTTTCTAAATCTTCTTCAAACTCAGAAGATGAAGATGAAGAACTATTTATTTGATTCATTATTACGTTAAGTATAGGACCTAAGTTGTTAAACTTGAGAAGAACGCTGAACGAACGAGAAATGGCTTTCGGTTCATAATAAAATGCGCATAATATGAAAGAACGACGTGACACTAATGTGTTTCCTTTAAACCACACGTGAACTCACTTTTACTGTGATAGCATGTGAACTCACGTGACGTGACAGTAATGTAATTCCGCCTTTAGTATCACGTCGTTCTTTCATATTATGCGCATTTTTATTATGAACCGAAATTGAATATTTTTTTGAAATCCGTTATATCGATTGCTTTGATGAATACTTGATGATGCTGATTTTTTTATATCGTTGAAATTACCACCAATATTAAATTAAATATAGACACTGAAATATGACAGAAAAGTTATACAATATAATTTATAATTTATTCATCAGCTGTTTATTTAAATTGATATGTATCCATTCAGTAGACTACAGATTTAGTGTTGGACTAAAATATACTTGATTTTTATGTCGTGTGAGTATTTGTTGTTTTGTTCAACATTACATCTTATGGGACTTTTAGATATAAGATTTGAAAATAGCTACAATTCTGATAAAATGTGAATATATCCCTTTTTGAATGGATGCTCTATGCTCCCACACAACAAGGACTCCAGTTGCTGTAAATCCATTATCAAATGTCATCGGCACAACCAACGCGGTTTGGCGATTTGTACCAACTTATGTAATTAAACTTTTGCGCTAAGGTTTAGCAGACCGTGTTACCGTGAATATTCGAACACCCATAATATGTTAAATGGATGTGTTAATATTTTTTTACAAATATGAATAGTTAAAGAACTTAAATTTGAATTATGTTTCAAAATTATTTTGTTGAACTTTTTCGATTTGTGATTTTTTTTAAATTAGCATTGTATTAAAAGGAAATATATAAATTTCTTAAAATAAATATCGATTAAATGTACTATATTTCTAATTTATATAAGGCTGCACCATAATGATAAATTTTGTAAATAAACCAGTTACAGGTTTTGCGTGCATTTGGGACATTTCCCTGGAAAATATGGCCAATTACACAGACTGATATTATAGGTACCCGTTTTAATATAACCAGTTTCTAAAATTTATGCGAAATTATCCTTATTTAACCTTTATTTATTGATTCAATAAGTTATAAGTACTACAATAAGTTATAAGTACTCAATCCAATAGTAGTAATAGTACAATCTAGAATCTAAAAGGATACGAAAAATGAGCTGGTTCTATTAAAAAAAACAAGGAAATTGTTGACACTTCCGGTAATAATATTTGTAATTAAATATAAGCAAAAAAAATCTCGTTAACCTAAAACTTTCAAATTTGTATCAAAATAATTATATCCTAAAATACTTTATACAGTATACATATATATATATATATATATATATATATATATATATATATATATATATATATATATATATATATATATATATATATATATATATATATATATATATATATATATATATATATATATATATATATATATAGGTTGAAATTAGAGTCTACAGATCAATCAAAACTAACGAAAAAAAAAGCTTAAACTTACCAATTAGCTTGTATCGTTCGGCGTCCCAAGGTGGGGGTTCGCGCGTCGCAGCGTCGAACTCGTAGTACAACAGGCTGAACGTTTCTTTGCATGACAGGGCGTTTCCTGTAAATACAATTAAAATGTTATTTTTAACAATCGTCTGGGTCCTAATAAACGAAACGCAGTTAGTAGGGATACAGATGAATGGTTTTAATTTCTCACGATTGCCAAATCTCTAAATGTGTTTCTCATTTTCTTTACAGTGAAAAATTTAAGTCTCTGACGAAAAACATTTAGATTGTTTGTGATTTTTAGTGCAAGTGGTGTAAAGAGGGTATTACTTGTCAAATTTCATAGTTTTCGCTTGAGAATGTCGAAATAGTCTTTTTTGTCCGGTATAAATTATTGTCGTATCTTTTTTTACGTTAACTGAGAAGTGTGAATTTTCACAGCTTCATACCCCAGTCAAATTAGGTAAAAAAAGGCCAATCGGTGGAAAAAATTCCCACAGTTTTGAAAATGGTTTTAAACGATTCCTCTATATAACTGATAATATGTGTTAAAAGTCCCCGAAGATAGACGATGAGCTCGAGGAGTGGGGAGGAGTTAAATGTGAATTTTTTCACTTTTTTGCTTATATGTTGGAAACTGTGATATCTACCGAAAAACGCTCTATATATAAAAATAAAGCTAACAAAATTTTCTATAAAAATGATTCTGTACATTTTTGTTCCCGGACTTATGGTTTCCGAACTGTACCCTTTATAAATTTGAACACTAAATCAAATGGCCTATTCCAAATCCATACAAACAAATTTCATTTCATTGCACGTTTTTCGATCAAATAGCGTTGAAGAAGTACGATATCATAATTTTTAAGTATTAAAGATAACTTTTAGTATATCCTGTGGTTTTATAAATTTTAGACGTAATGCTTTCACACATAAATCACTCCTTGACTGCGCAAGTTATTTTATGTTAGTTATAGTTAGTTTAGTTATTTTATAAGTTATTTATGAATGTTTTCTGTTCATTTATTTTGCTTTATATTTCTTTAATTTAATTTTACTTTTTTATAATTATTATTGTACACAATATATTAAAGAAACAAAATAAATAATAATATATTTATAAAATAATAGTGAATTATTATGTTTCTAAATTAATTTTTTGTGGTTTGGTCGGAAATAAGAAATACCTTCATAAAATTCTTCAATTCAAAAGACCTATAATAAAAATGAAAGCACCTTATCTTTAATAACATAGATTTCTTGTAATTTAAATCTCTTAATATATTATACAAAATTAAAAAAGAATTTGAAAGATTTACAAAATTAAAAAAGTAAGCGATACATGCATTATTATAAATAGTAAATTAAAATCACTTTTTTTATTGAATACAAATTACTTACCTAAAACGGATAATGTGGAATAACATAGATAATTTTAAAGTCTGGGGACTCATGTTATATGTATGTGGATATCATTATTGTATTCAATTATTGGTAGGTTGAGAAGATTCAGAAATCACACATTCATATGCGTTTATAAGACTCTTTGAAATTCTGCGAGGGGATTCTATATTGGCGAAATGAATTGGATAGTGCAGATACGCAAATATTACAGTTACGTTAACTGTATCAACAGGAAGAAATCATGTAGAATATCATCGCAATATACAACCTCAGGGAACCAGACCTCAAATGATAAAGCCTCAAACGATTCATGCTACTTTAACATTAGAAAAATCTACTACAGACAAGGATAGAAATCTTTAACTCTGAGCAATCATGGACCATAAATCACGATTTTTGGTTTTCGTATACCTTGTAGAATATTTGGAGCTGCGCTAAATGCCGTGGTATACTTTTTTTACCGTAAAGCAGGCATGCATTAATGTTTAACTTTCAGTTATTGGTTAAGTCCTGTCTGGCACTAGTGCACTCCAACGGAAGACAAAGAGTCACGATGCAATGAAGACTTGAAAGATAACATAAGGACCCCTTAATATTAATATTATTAATATGAAAGGTTAAATTTAGACTTTAATTAGATTTTAAATGCGGAAATACAATATGATAAACCGTGTTAATTTTGTAAACCCTATAACTCTTAAAAAACTCATAAAAGTGACATTTAACCCCTCCCCTCTCCTCGAGCTCATCGTCTATCTTCGAGGACTTTTGACACATATCAACCAGTCTAGAGAAATCATTTAAAACCATTTTCAAAACTGTGGGATTTTTTTCCACCGATTTCTCTAATTTGACTGGGCTATCAAGGGATTGTAGTCATAAGAATATGGTTTTAATTTGAACCTGATGCCTCCACGCGTTCCCGAGATAAAGGATCTTGACAAGCGGACGGACGAACGGACAAACAACAAACTGATCCTATAAGACTTCCGTTTTTTCCTTTTGATGTACTGAACCCTAGAAATTACCAAATAAAAATTCTTAGATTAATTACAACACATTTTTCGTGTTAAGTCATTGGGAGCGGTGTAGTAGTGCACGCCTGAGCCGAAATTGAGCCAGTGTAAATTACAGGCCCATACATTCGAGCAATGCACAATCCATTAAATAATCTCGGGAAACGGCGTCGGGGAATTATAAATTTTCAACGCTACCGCATAGCGGCCTCACCTGCATCACACGGAGTTCGAGCCGACTCCGTACCAACGCTTCTATTAACTAACGCGAAAATTACCAACAATAAGGAGGACGCGTACCGTGAAGGCACAACTTTAAATTGCCACGGATGTTTTCAAAATGTGTACGTTACTGAATAATGCCGCCAGACGTAAGTTGGAAAACTCGATAACACGCTATTTTCACATCGAATTCCAGAAATACAAAAGGACTATATTGTAATCGCAAAACATTTTCCGATGCACGTCATCAATCATATCGACATTGACACTAAAGTCTATAAACCTGACTAAATAAAATTTTGGCAAAAATGTTTAAATTTGTTGTATAATTTAAGATACAGAGCAGCTCTTCATTTTACTTTATAGAGCAAATGATTGTAACAAATATTTTATTTAGATTAAAGATGCAAAAATTAGTTTAATTTTATTATCGCTATGTTGGTCAGATTGCGACGATCAGCAATGTCGTCCTTTATTATTTGACAATTATCCTAGTGTCAGTCATTATTTTGTATAATATTGTATTGTTGTTGAATCTTTCTGAGTAATTCTCACGTTCATTTAAATTGCACTTTAAATTTTCGAGTTTTGTATGTACTGCATTTCTTGAAATTGTGTGTTGAAAATATGCCGAAGCATTTAAACAGTCGAAGCAAAGAGCTTGTAGCTTCCCTGTTTTTTGAAAACTATTTTGAACGAGAACGTGACAATAAAGGTCCTTTATTGCCCTTGACTGCAGTCAGAAAAGTAAGTTTGATTATTAAACTCTGTGATTATTAGTTTGTGCATTAATAGCACCCTCTTACTTGTTATTACCACTTATGGCGTTGAAAGATGTACATCAATAAACCATAAATAACCCATAATAACGCTTATAATAATCTTCACAATGGAATAGTTTTTACCAATATGCAATAAGTAAAATAAGCTATAAAAGAAATAAATCAATTAATCACAAAAATATTAGTTATTAAATTAAAAATAAAACGTAAAACTCTTTAAAAAATGATATAATAAATATCTTGTTTGTCAATTTTAAATTCAGATTCATCTCATAAATCCGTCACAATCTGGCAGCGCTGTCGCCATCGCTTGTCACTCAAAGTTGATCACGTGCATCGGAAATTGTTTTGCGATTACCATATGTATATGGCCTGATGTAAGACTAAAAGTCGACACAAAATGGTTGATGATTACGGAAAAGGGAACAAGCTCCATTTTATGGTTCTGAGTAAGCGACTGGGGTTACCTGATTTAGGATCATTTATTTTTATGATGATCTTCTTAATAAACCAAAAAATATCTGAATAAAAAAAAAATGAAATAACCAATGTGAGATAAGTGAAGTGTAGATTATTTAATAAGCAGCTGTCATTTGCCTTATCGATTACAACTAAGCATTTGACTGGCTAGAATCTTGCTTTATTTGTCAATTGCTTTTGCATTTTGGTTTGGTGTTTTTTTGGGGGGGGGGGCATTGACTATTTGACCTTATGGTGACGCCACTGGTCATTTGGTAAACTTATGCTTTTTTTTAATAAAAACGCATTACGATATGAATGTTTTATACCTTTTGAGAGTAATAAAATAACGAAAAGATGGACATAAGAACAATCTTAGCCTGTCGTCAACTGTTTTCATAGAAGCATAAAATCGAATATTAATTTTATAGATACTTAACTGTCGCCTGGGAAATTTTACATAGAAAAATCTTCGAAAAATCTAAAAAATGCAACCGACACACGATACTTTGGCGATAATAATCTTCAGCCGACAACATATGCAATGTATGCGGATGCAATTTTTGCATCAACGCAGCCGCTCAACTTTATGTGCGATTAAACATAAAATTTTAAATATACCGTTAAAAGTTTATATTCGTATATTGGGTGTATATTGCCATATCCTTATTAGTTGATACTGAAAAGTGGCAGAGTAATAAAGCTATAATTAACCCGCATATAATTATACGTTGTAGTAAAAAAGTATACGTACAAAACGAGTACTAAAAATATGAATATACATACACACATGGCCAAAATTATTGCATATATCGTTTAAAAATATACGGAAAGGAATTTAAATAATATTTTTTTATACATAGCTTTGATAATCTGTAATAAAAACATTTTTTTGTTAAAATGGATATGGTAAACAATGTTTATCGTTCAGACCCAATATTATTACAAATTCTTGCACATTTCGATTTGTGGTCTCTTGGGTTTCAAAAGAAATTTGACCATTGTTTTGGCCTTAAAATGCCTTAATATTTCACAGTTTAATAGAGTCAGCAGTCCTGTCTCAACAGGGCTACCGGCAAGTTGCAATAGGTGAAATTGTAGGAGTTAACCAAAGCGATGTTCCACGAATATTAAAAAAAATCAGGGAGACAAACGAGGTTACAGACCGGCCAGGAAGAGGTAGAAAGAGAGTCTCACTGCTGTGCAAGACCGTCAAATATCCCTAATTGCACGATGCAATCCCCTGTTTTCTAAGAATTGCTATTAAAAATGAGTTAGCGAAGGAGTAAATGTTTCAAGAAAGACCATAGCAAGAAGACTCCATGACAGGATTACATTTAAGGAGGCCTCTACGTGTTCCGAAGCTTAATTTACAGCACAACATTACCTAACTGGAATTTCGTCATGTTTAGTGATGAAACAAGAATAGGCCTAGTGTCAGACTCGCGAAGAACTTTGGTCTGGAGAGCATCTGGAAGACGAGCACGTTTGAATGCAGCTCAACCCCGTGTCCCGTTTCAAGGGGGAAGCATATTATGGTATGGGCAGGTAATGCACGGAGCTCGAACTCCTCTTGTTTTTATTGATGGCACAGTGCCAGGTGCCTCATATCTTAGAGACGTTTTAGAGCCTATTGTGCGTCCATTTCGAGGGGCAGTGGGGGATGAATTTGTTTACATGGACGATAATGCTCCTCCTAGGAAGAGGGTAGAAGAAAACTGTGGTGGCCACCGATGTTTCCAGATATGAATGCGGTCGAGCATGCTTGAGACATGTTAAAACGCCAGATTTCCAAAAGGAATGACCCCCCGTACCTTAAATGAATTGAAAACTACTGCGTGTGAAACATGGGAAGCCATTCCTGAACATCTTCTGGACAACTTAATTGAGAGTTGTGTCATGCCATGTCGTCTCACAGCTTGCATTGAGGCTCGAGGAGGCAATAGAGACTATTAGTTGTGCGAAATAATTAAAATTGTTTTCAATATTTTCTGTTTAAAATGAAATTTGTTTTTGTTGATTTTCACTCATTATGAATAAAATTATAATAACAGCCTAGTTGCACTTAGATTTTTAATTTTATATTAGTTAGTCGTGTAGTAAGCCAATATGTATAAAAATCTAAAAAGAATCATATTAGGTCCAAAATAAAATAAAAATATCGTTATATGGCAATAATTTATGCCGGTATTTAATAAACGGCATCATGTACCTAGTAGGTCAGAATTTCCAAAAAGATAAAATAACTTTTTGTAACTTTAACAGACAATTATAAAGAAAAAAAAATCTGGAAATAACTTTGAATTTATTTCGCCACTAAACCAGAAAACAAAAATATAAAAATATTTTATTATTGCAAATAACATAATTAATTTTTAACTCTTAAACTAGATAATTTGACTAAGAAATAAAAATTTGACACTTTCGCAAGTTAATGATCTTAAACATGTTTAAAGGTTGCTTTAGACTTGGATTGGAAGGCAAATTAATAAAATTGCGTTTATCACATAAAGGAGGCCAAAATCGACAAAATATTAAGTGACAACTTTTAATCGGCATTAAACGGCTTACACTATTTCGCTATCAAGAGAAAAAAGTCAGAGGCGTACATGCTTTTTTTAGAAAAATATTCCTTATATATCATAATATATAACTCAAAGGCACGTCCTGGTGAATATGTCGACACTTTTTTAGCATTAAAATATGTCGCACCTTTACCTTCAAAATTTCATTCGAATCGATAAAAGTACTTGGAAGAAAATTATAATAAATCGAAAAAAAAGACGTAGATACGAAACAATTGACATAAAAAACAGTTGATATAAAAAATGAATCTTATTTTACATGAGGAACCTCCCCACGAGAGATAGCACATGTTTTCTGAAACAGCCTGTATATTTTGTAATCTGTATAGGCTAAAAAACTTTCGCAAACTGATGTATAGAACAGCATACCATAAAATAGGCATCAAGGCAATCGTGTACTAATATGGTAACACTATACGAAGTAAAAAAATATATTTACAATATGTAACTAACATAAAATACTGCGCACCACTGAACCTTATCTCTACAAAAGTAGGAAAACCTCTTTCCACGTGGATTCGGTTACATTAGACTAAACACAAAATCAGATAAACCCTGTAATTACTGTCTCTAAGTGAAGAAATTAAAACACTATAATTTTCCCCGTATCTACAGAACAGATTGGCTCGATTACAATTTATTTATTTTGCTAAACTACCAGCGTTCCGTTTTAGTTCCGAACTTGATTCAAACTACCGCGAGTATAAAATAATTGCTGTTTTAGAACTACATTTAGCTTTGAGTGTTCGAATATTGAAATTCAATAATGCGACATTAACGATCGTTGGATGCAAATGGAAATTAATTGCCATATCATTTTGATCGCAGGTTTTGCAGAAAAAGAAAAAGTGGAGTAACTAATTAGATTAGACAACAGAAGAAAACAAACACCCCAAAAACGTTTGTTTACCAAAAACTATTGAAATAATTCTTTTTTTTTCCATAGCAACTGTTAAAATTGCCTTATATCTATCAAAAATAGTAGATAAAATAGTATTTTAACCGCAAGGGTATATTAAATGATACTTTAACAGTGAGGATAGGTTAAAAACTTTATTTCTTCTCGAACGTTTTTTAATTGCTTCCATTTTTGAAAATGTTTGCATTCCTCTTCATAAGTTATTCGGGATTTAAATGGAAGTAGTTTGGATAATATGGCGTTTGTCGCCTCAGCCTGAATATCTGTCGGTAATTTACTTATTTTGTTTTGAGTCATTTCTGGCTCCAATTCAATCAGCAATCGACACGAAAGAGAATTAAAAAATATTGACTGAAAACTGACAACTAAAGAGACAGCTTTATTTATTTGTCAAATTACATAGAAACCAACGCCAATCCAGCACAATATTTTTTCTACTCGTAATAAATTCCTTGAAATAATAATTTCTGAATATTTATTAAAACGTAACTCGCTATGGAAAAAATATTGTTTTATACACGACGATAAAATTGCATTATCGTCTCCCGAAAGTAATTCACTCGCGATTTCATCGCCCGTGAATTAATCTTTTCGGTCGACGATAAAATGCCATTTTATCGTCTTGTATTAAAAAACAATTATAAAGCTCCGTCTACACATAACAGGAGATTTTGGGCGTCTATGTTTTGCTAAGGACTCAAGTAGTCAAAGTATATTTAAAAAGTAACTTTAAACGTTATAGATTTTGATTAAAAAATAGGAACATTAAATTAAAGCTTTAACACCATGCATCTCAAAAACAAAAACTATAAAGATCATGTAGATTTTTAGGTACTTATGTTTATTTTTGGGTGCTGATATGTATTCTGTTTATATAGGTTGTCCCAATATTCCGTGGACATGAACTACTACTTATTTTTAGAATGAAAATAAGTTTATTTGGCACAATTTACCTCTATACAAAAGTGCTTCGTTTGTCCACTAGAGGGCATCAAATTTTAAGACGGGAAGACTGAAAACTATCCCTACAATTCTACAAACAATTTTTCTCCAAAAACTATGCGATGTGGAGTTTTTTACAAGAGACAAAAAATGTAGCAAATACTAGAGGGACCATTTCAAGAAAAGAAAATCTGTCGTCATTGGAGTTGGAAAATATTTATACTAAAATGTATATTTATGTGTGTTAGGTGTGTTAGTTTTCACCTTTCCAGTACTGTTTCTTGATTTTTTGTAAAAGTCAAGTGTTAGCAAAACATAGACACCAATCTCATTCAAATCAGAATAAATGTTCTTAAAATATCTGAAAAAATGTGTTAATTTTTTTAAAGTTTGATGCCCTCTGACGGACAAATGAAGCACTTTTGTATAGAGGTAAATTGTGCCCAATGAACTTATTTTGATTCGAAAAATAAGTAATAGTTCTATGTCCACGGAATATTGGGACATCCTGTATATCTTTTTAAATGAAAAATGCTGAATTTTACTCTAGAAAGAAGTAAATGAAGATTTTTTGACACCAATTTGAACATAAAATACTGTGTATAACGTTTTACCATAAAACAGAAGCTTTGCGGGTTATCTTATGAATTATAAACTGAAATTTGGCAACTGCTAGCAAATTGCTAATTCCTTTAACAAACTTACCTGGGAACAAGCTGCAGTCTCTGATTGTAAATTTAATTTCGATGTAAATCCTATTTGCGTCCCCTCGATCGATGAAAGGTGTCCACAGCCAATTGTTGGCGTTGTTATAAGCCACATCGCAAACTACGTACGATCGCCAGTTAATGCCTTTTTGGAAATTGGTGAAGGATTCTTCGACCCACTGAAAAAAAAAGAAATACAAATTATAAACATTTACATATGTATATAGGTAATACTATCATATATAGATTAAATATAATCACATCGCATATCATTACTCCAGTACTAGCTCCAGTAACTAGTAACACAGGAGTATTTTTTTCCTTATAATATTTAAGTAAGTGAATTATTAATAAAATGACTATTTAATAGTCATATAACTTCAATATAAATATTATTCATATTATTTGTTTGTAGTATATTATTATTATTTTTCCGTCAAAAATTATCGTTATTCTTGGCTAGACTAGAAAATGGCGATCAGAGATGGATAAAACTAGTAGTGGGAACTATCGAATGAATACTATCGAAACATTCGATAGTTGCAATTCATTCGAATAATTCGATAGTAAGAAAACATTCGTTGAAAACTATTCGAATAAAAATTATCGAATAGATCCGTCATCTGCCTTGAAATATTGTATTCTAGTAATTCGGCAGCAAAAACCATTCATTTATAAAATTCATTCATTTATGAAATTCATTTATTCGTCAGGATCGATTATAATAAAATATTAACTGAATTTTAGTTGTCGCCCGGCGACGTAGGTTTCTTTCCGAGAAACCCGACAGCGGTCGGTGGCAATGCTATGAAAGAAGCCGGCATCTTTGATTTTTTGCGGAGTCAGATATAGATAAAGACACATTATTTTTTTTATTGAGGTGCTAGTATTTACACAGAAAATACCATAGATTTAAAATAAAATATAGACTACACTATTTACATCTGAACGCGGACAAACAACCTTTTTTGTACACATGTTTACTTCTGGGTACAGTCGACCGAGCCTTCCTCATCCAGCCTATGTTGTCACGTCTTTAATATTACCAATATTTTTTTTCTTGTTATACACATATATTGAGATATTAATACTACAGTTTAATAAAGTATGTTTTAATATTCCATAGATGTATTAAATAGTCCTTATACTACTAAATTATAAGTCGGATACTGTTTAAAAAGGATAAGTTCTTTACAATATGATAACACCGATTAGAGGCGAGGGAGCCTATTCATTCATTTATTACCTTGTAGTACGCGTGGCAAGTGTGCGGTAAAGCTTTGATGCCGCTATGTCCCCGGCTGTATTAACGCATTTTCTTAGTTTGTAGTCCTTAAGTGTTTATTTTATTGACTTTTTCTGTTCAAGAACTATAAAATATGGTTCGCCAGTGCCAAATTTGCAAGAAATTTGACTTAAATAATCCATTTAAGTCTTGAAACGACTTTCGACCGGTAGACAACTCTCAATTTGCCCATTGGGAGCCAGTGGCGTTGTTGTAGAAAGGCGCTTATTTAGATAATATTTTAGTAAAATGTAAAATCTGAATTTTTTCTCATTACATTATTTACTTACTTACATTGTAACAAAGTCATAATTATAACCCTGTTAATAATTAATAATGATTTTATTAAAAATATGGTTTATTCTAAAATTATCTTGAGCATATAAAATAACATACAAGAATTTTAAATTGATATTACATTATGAAACAATATTTTTTAATATACCGGGTCGTCTCAAAAGTGGCTCACCCCCTATAACTTTTTTATTTTTTCAGATAAAAAAAACAGATTTGTATGTTATAGGTATATGACATAAATTAGGATTTATTGATGTATTCAGTTGTTTTTGGTCTCTTCCTGTTTCACCGAAATGATTACATCTTTTTATTTTTAAAGGCAACCTCGGTATATTGCTACTTTATTCGATAAAAAATGACACTCTGAATAGAATGACATATCATATGTCAACTTTTGACATTGTCGCTGAAAAACAAATCGTATTTTAAATTTCAATCCAGGGTGCCATGGTGTTGTTAAAAACACTAAGTTTTAATCAAGGAGCCTTGGAAAAATAGTTTTGATCGTCTAATAGGTTTCGTGTCTTGTCTAAGTCGGTTAAAATATGTACAAATCGTATTTTTAATCATACATATGTCAATTTTTTCAAATGGAACAAGGGTGACTCATTAGCATATTTGGAAAAAGCATTTTTTTATGAATATATGATACCACACACTTGGTATTTCGAGTCAAATTGTCGTTATGAACCGCGTGTTACAATTACAATTAAACCATATGCGAAAATGTCAAAAGTTGACATATGATATGTCATTCTATTCAGAGTGTCATTTTTCTATCGAATAAAGTAGAAATATACCGAGGGTACCGTTTAAAATTAAAAGTTATAGTCATTTCCGGTGAAACAGGAAGTGACCAAAAACAATTGAATGCGTCAATCAATCCTAATTTATTTCATATACTAACATACTAAATCTTGTTTTTATTTCAGAAGAAGTTCAGAAAAAGCCCTACGCGTTATGTTAGGCATGAAAATTAGGGAATCATGTAGAAATAAGTTTAAAGAGAATAAAAAAAATTATGGGGATGAGCCACTTTTGAGACGCACCCGGTATAATAAAGACAGTACCGAGTTAAATAAATGTAGTTTTTATTTTATCCACTTCCTATCACCTTCCTTGCTTTAATGGAACATATTTATGTTTTCTCTAATTTACATAATAAGAAATCCTTAACCAGAAAAAATTACAACAATCATATTTTTTTTTTCTCTCCTGTCACCGATTCTATTATATCTGTGGAATAGACCCTGTTTTGATTAATATTAGAGGGGTTGTAAATGTTTGACTAAAATTAATAATTTATTATTAATTTCAAAAAATTACCTAATTTCGATTATAAAATTTCTTCTATAACGTGTATTTTATTATTTTTATCCTTTTTGGACTCTAAATTGTTTTTTCTAAACTTTTATTTAAAAAACCTGTCCTAAATCTTAATAAAATATAAAAAAGTTTAAATACGATATATTTTTAATTTAATTATAGCTTCATTAAAATAAAAAAAATACCCGGCTATGATACGGAGAGTTCAGGCACAGAATATACACCATACAGAAGCGACAAAGAGCTTTGAATAGCATTGGTCAAATGGGAACTAATTGCGTGACGTCACGTTTGACATCCGTGCGCCTTGAACAGCATTTCACACTGAAAGAAAATTGTTAGATTTTAATAGAAAATGATGAAAGGCAGGTTTATTTAATTTTTAAAAACTAGAGGGATTTAAATCAAGTATTTTTATTTAGAATTAAAATAAATAAATAATTATGAAATATATTTTTTAGTCTTTTATGCATAATATCTAGAAATAATTATACTTGCGGTCGTGAATTTTTTTTTGGTGTATAATTCTTTGACGTCACGTTTGACAGTTAACCAGCATTACCCCCTCCTAAAAATTTTGAAGCAAATCTCTTTGTCGCTTCTGTATGGTGTATATTTTGTGGTTCAGGTGTACTTGAGAAACGAAAGACAGTGTTGTGTTTCTCGGCAGAGTCGTCAGGGAACGACCGTTACCACAGACACAACCTATCTATCGCTCGTGTCGCACTCGTTATAACCTAAAACAATAACACAACAATAACAAGACAGTGTCTGACCGCATGTTCCAGCTATTTATGAATAATGAGATGCTCAGTCTATATTTTATTTTAAGTCTATGGAAAATACATTATGAAGGGCGCTGTTGCCATATTTTGTTGTTAGTTGATATTAGCAAAGAATATTATTGTTTGGCTTTAGTTAGTTAGGGATAGTATGTCTATATATTCTGCATTTTTTTATTAATATTCTGTTGTTACACTGCAATAATACTTGTTATTTTGGATGTAAGAAAATGATTTTTAATGTTTTTAAGCAAAGACTGGTTTAAAAATAATAATAACAATAATAATTTGTTATACCTATTAACAACAAAATTTAAAATGATTTAATATAAATATTTTTTTAAGTAGTAGCAAAATATAAACAACAAATTAGATGTCAAAATTATTTATATTAGATCCTATTTAGAAATAATATAGTCTCTAAATTTTTTGTGTGTGGCAACGTTGGTTTATTAAATAATAATAATTACAGAACTAATTTGTTATATTAACAACAAATTTTAAAATCATGAAATATAAACATTTATTAATTTTCTAAGCATGCAGTGTAATGGAAGGAAAATATAAATAAAAAATTACAAATCAAAATTATTTATATTAGGTGCTTTATATTACTATTTAAAAATTATATTTACTTTTACTGGCATTTACTTTAAAAAATAAATGAAATATTTCTTCGCAAAAAACTACATGTAAGAAAATTAGCATAAACAAAATACAAACATCGTTAACTTTTTTTTTTAAATTGGCACGTGTAAAACTTTTATTTTAATTTTCTCACCCCATAGTTTGAGTTCGATAACCATTTACTTAACCACATTACTTAAATATGATTATTAAGTTCAACTAATTCATATTATTAAAACATCTAAAATACAAATATGTATTTTTAAAATTAATTGTAAGTTCATCTCATCTCTCTTAAAAATTCTACTTCTCAAAATTTCCCATTAAAAAAAATAAATCATATACCATATAAAATTAAATAATTGAAAGATCGGACTACGGAAAACCATACAAATTTTTCGGAAAAATTTTGACCACCTGCACATGCACACAATCGTCAATAAATAAAATTAAAAAATAACTACTATTTTAGTATTTTAACTATTTTAATAAACGCAAAAATAGCACAGTATTTATACGGCGAAGTTATAAAAATTTGGAAGAACTAATAATGCACTGACGCATACAAAAATCAAACGAATAGTAAATTTCATTTTTCATTTATCAAAAGCATTCGATCGTGGCGCAACGATAACCATTTGGTCGCACGGCGAGGTTTTCACATATGCTTTAGTATAAAAATAAATGAATGATTTTATTCGAATAAAACCATTCGATAGTTGAAATCATTCATTCATTAACCATTCGATAGTCTAATTCATTCGATAGTTCCCATCGCTAGATAAAACATTTGTTTCGGGTAAAAATAATATGTTCAGAAAATAATTCACTAAACAGAGATATAAACCACATAAAAATACAT